CACGCCCGGCTAACTTGTATTTTCAGTAGTAGAGACATGGTTTCACCATGTTGGCCGGGCTGGTCTCAAATTCCTGACCTCAAGTTATTTGCCCGCCTTGGCCTCCCAAAGTGCTGGGATTACGGGCGTGAGCCACCGCATCCAGCTGAAAAGCAGCTCCAGTAGGGCAAGGCTGCCTTGCCCTGGCTGCTGTCAATCATTGCATTCATTCCCCAGGAGAGGCCCATTCCTCAGTGCTGGCTCTGCAGTCACTGCAGGGCCAGCACTCTTCTCCCAAATTGTGATTGCCCCAGATGCTGTCTCCACGGGCCTGGTGGACCGAATGTCCAGGTGTCCCCAGACCTGACTCAGACACAGCAGGGCGGGATACCCAAGGGCCCTCACTCTCACGGCCCGGTCCACTGCTCCCAGCTGGCCCTTTGCGCAAATAGGATGGCTCCTTATCACACGGCCACAAGTTCCCCTGGGGAAACGTGCCACAGCATCGGCACTGGATGGAGGGTCTGGGGAGCCCCGGATGACATGGGGCCACCTCCGGCTGTGCTGTCCTGGGGTATCTGCAAAGGCCCTCAGGCGTGGTGTGTTCTAAATCCCCCACTTGCCACCTGCCCAGCCCTCCAGGGCCTACCTTGTCAGCAATGTCCTCCTCTGGGCTCTCCACGAGCTCGGGCGAAGGGTCCTCCAGGGCCTCCATGGTCAGGGCCCCTGACTGGTGCAGGTACCTACGGAAAAGGCACAACAGCAGAGGGAAGAAAGGGAAAAGCCACAGGACACGCTCTGTCAGCAGGAGCACTTCCAGGTCAATCTGAAAAGCAGGCAGCAGCATCGTGGGGGACAGGTCCTCCCCCTGTCCTGGTCGGTGGTCTCCTTCCAATTAAAACACTACGTACAGTGGGGGTCCCAGGCCGGACATCTGTGCCAGGAGCTGGGGGCAAGCAGCCCGTGCTCTGTGGTCTGAGTCCTCCAGGCGCTCTTTGGAGCCCGACAGAACACGACCTCAGTCCCAGCCAGTGAACAGCAGAGAGGACTTTGTACTCGGGTACAATAAAACATGGTGCCCTTCTTCGAGGAGACATGAACAATCTCGTCTCTACCAGAGGCCTGTGAGATATCAGCTAAGGACCTCGACCTGCATACACCTCCCACATGCACATTCTTGATCTTGGACTTTCACAGGTGCTCTCCGTGGCAGGAACGGTGAGGGTCCTAGGAAAGGTGTGGATCCCAGAAGTCTCACTCAGTGTCACCCTCAAGGACACACTGGGAACCTGGTCCAACCAAGTCCAGGAAGGCACCAGACGCAGTGTCCTCTGTGGCAATAGCTCCTGTCGACGCACCCGCAGCCCTGTAGGCCATGCCGGGTACTACCCAGGCCAGGCTCAGGGACACTCAGCCCTGTGGTCCTGTGTGGATCCAAAGGCCCACAGGCTGTGGCCCTGGGGCAGAAGCTTCTCCAGGGAGTGTGAACTTAGGTGTGCAGTAAATGGGTGCTCATGATCACCACATGGCCAGATTACCTGCAGTGAATCTGCACCAACCCTAACTTGCTGGGAGTACAGAAAAGGAACACTGCACATAAATGCCAACAGCAAAGTGGCGTGTTGAGTTCTTTATACATCCTGGGAGCCTCAGTAGTGAGCCGTGTGACCCTGAGAAAGCACTGACCCTCTCCTGAGCCTTCCTTGCCTATGAAATGGGGAACTAGAGGCAATCTGAGGTTTAACCAAGGTCAGGCACACAAACAGCTTGGCTAGAAACACAGCAGAGTAAGAATTCAATAAAATGCTAATATATTTGCCCTGAAAACGTCTATCAAGTGTATGAAATTCGATTTGCTTTTCAGTACCAACTAAGCTTGAACATTTCCATTTTTTTCCCCATAAATGCTCTGAGAGGGAAAAAGGAAGGGCATCTTCACCCCTGGAGACCACAAGCCCTGTGAACGAGCACCAGCTGGGACACACAAGCGCCCTTTGGGGACTCGGCGGATTTCATCAACTTCTCAAAAGCTGCTGCCGACAGACATCATGCTCTTGGCCAGTCGTGGCTCTTCAACACCCACGACCTTGCCCCCAGACATGAGCCACTCCAGGCAGGACGCTGCGTCCCAGAGCCCATCCTGAGGAGAGGCCGCAGCCTGGGGCCTGTCAGCAGTTCTCAGCTGTCCTAGAGGCGCAGGTGCTCCTGGGGCTGACTCAGGGATGGGAGGCCCAGCCATCCCCAGGCACCCAGTGTGCAGCCACCACACATGGCCACCAGCGTGAGGCAGAGGGTCCTCGCTTATTTAAATCCCCCAGAAAGAGGGACTCTCCAGCTACACCCCACTCTCACTTGGGAGGACTCTCCCCCACCCCGAGAGGGAGCTATGAAAAAGCCTGATCTGCCCTAAAGGGCAGTATAGTAGGTCAAGCCTGGTCAGTGAGCCAGGAGGTACTGGGGTCCCTGAGGCCTCCCACCCAGGGCCACAGGCCTGCTTTGAGCCCTTCCTCCTGCCCTGATGGAGTCCGCTCTTCCCGGAGCCCTATCCCTGCACACACGGCAGACTGGAGAAAACCCCTTCCATCTCACAGTCGGGGAGGAGCCAGGCTGAGAGCTTAGCAACGCGGCAGGCCCGGGGGCTGTAACAGCTGCCGCAGGACCCACCATCGCAGCAACAGTGCAGTGAGAAGGGCTGAGAACTGTGAGAGGCCAATCACCATGGTTCTTTTGTGCTTTAGCCTCTTGTGGCCCATTTGGGGCAAAACAGCAGATTACATGTTACATTATATATATTTACATGTGGACAGACATATATACTGCACAATATGCCTCTTTTTATAAACTCTAACTACACATAACTGCAGATTGGGCTTTTTTTATACTGAAGGGTATCCATGAAGGAAACCCTAAACTTTAAAGGGTATTTCTGACACAAGCCATGACAGCCAGCTGCAGGCTGCACGCCATCCTAGGCGTGGAAGGCCTCAAGGAGATGCTCCAGCTGGCCTTGACTGGCCTTTCGTGTCACCAGCTGCAGCCTGTCTGGAGTGAAAGACTTGATGAAATGAGAAGGGAGGTGATGCTGAAGTGGTAACAGAAGTATAGGTAGAGTTCATGTCACATACCTAAGAGCTCAATGCTTTTCTAAGAGGGGTGAGCAGGAAGGTGGTTAGAAAAAAATGCATGATGACGTTCACCTCTGCTTCCTCTAGCCCCCAGCCTCTAAGATGATAGAAAATGGAAAACAGGTGGGGTGCATGTGGCTCACACCTGTAATCCCAGCACTCCGGGAGGCAGAGGTGGGGGAATGCTTAAGCCCAGGAGTTCAAGACCAGTCTGGGCAACTCAGTAAAACCCCTGTCTCCACAAATTATCTAGGCATGGTGGCATGCGCCTGTGGTCCCGGCTGCTCAGGAGGCTGAGGCGGAAGGACTGTCTGAGTTGGGAGGTCTGGGAGGTCAAGACTGTAGTGAGCAGTGATCACATCACTGCACTCCAGCCTGGGTGACAGAGCAAGACTGTCTCAAAAAGAGAAGAGAAGAGAAACGAAAAGAAAAAGTTTCCATCCTTGGCCAGGTGTGACAGCTCATGCCTGTGATCCCAGCACTTTGGGAGGCCAAGGTGGGAGGATCGCTTACGCCCAGGAGTTTAAAACCAGCCTGGGCAACATAGTGAAAATCCATCTCTACTAAAAATTAAAAGACTAGCCGGGCATGGCAATGCACACCTGTAGTCCCAGGTACTTGGGAGGATGGAGCAAGCCTGGGAGGTACAGGCTGCAGTGAGCTGTGATTGTGCCATGGTACTTTGGCCCGGTTGACAGAGCAAGGCAATGTCTCAAAATAAAAGAAAATGGAAAACAAAAGGTTTCCGTCCTTGGCTGGATGTGGTGGCTCAAATCCGTAGTCCCAGAACTTTGGGAGGCTGAGGTGGGATGATCACATGAGCCCAGGGAGTCTGGGGCTATCGTGAGCTATGGCTGCACCTGTGAACACCAATGCACTACAGCCTGGGCAACACGGCAAGACCTTGTCTATTTTTCTTTATTTTTATTTTTTCCTAGAGACAGGGTTTCACTATGTTGCCCAGGCTGATCACAAAGAAACCAAGTCAGAAAGGTTCAACTTCATGGTAGCAACTCCAAGGTGAGCAATGCCTTCAAAATCTTACCAGAAAACTATCCAAACTCACAGTCCAAACCAATGCAGTCTCAAGTTTATCTTCTGGGCACCCTTTTTCTCAAGAAGCTACAGAAAGATGTGCTGGACAAAAAATGGAGAAAACAAACAAGCGGGAAGAAGGGGCCAGGGTGCTACAGAATCCAACCCCCAAAACAAAGGAACATCTTTGTTCCTTTGCCATCTTTCACAGCAGGAAGCCAACAGATCTACGCATAGCTGAAAAATGAAGAAACAGTCTTTAGGAATTGGAGTCAGGCCCAGCCCTCACCTTCAACTCACCTTGGGGAGCTGCCCAGACCCAGCTTTGAGAAGCCAGGCTCCTCACTGGGTCTCGCCACCTTAGAGCCAACCTAGAGCAGACATTTGGAAATCTGGCCCCTTCCAGATCTTGCAGTGAGCACAGAACAGGCCCAGCACCAAAAGCTTCTGACATGTACCTCCTGGTCACAAATCCGGGTCCAAATTCACAGACTTGGAAACCCTTTCGCAACACCCCTCTCAGGAGGCTGGCTGAAGGTTCAGCTCAAAGCCATGAAAAGTAACTTGCAGGAGTTTAAGAAATTCCATGGAAAAGAACATTTTCTAAACTGTTTTTTTTTTTTAAACTATGATTAATAATCCACTTCAGAAGAACGTTTTTCAGTAGGACCCACCTACCTTGCCACCTTCTTGCTGGAGAGCCGCTTTGTCGGACTGTGCAGAAAACAAAATAAACAGGAAAACTGTGTTAGAGAGGAGCAGGAGGAAGCAGGAAACTCAGGCCTTGGACATACAGGGCGGCGGTCTTTCAGTGGCGCTCCTGGCATGCAGGGCCCCCCAGGCAAGCCCATGCACAAACGCTCACTCAGCAAGACAGCAAGGACATGGGCAGTGCCGGGTGGGGCTGCACACCGCTCGTTACTCCAGCCCCAAAGAGGCTTCCAGATGCACCCACTCCAGGCCGCAATTGAGGGGCCAGCACCACACCTGGTCCCGCCAGCTGGCCAACCTGTCCCAATGCTTCTGAAGCCAAATTACCCCCAAACTCTTGGCCTTTGGAGGCCCCCATGTGAAAAGTGACCCAGGCCCCGCCATGACAGTAGAGTTTGCCTCTGGCTTCAACCTCGACACTGATGCGTCAGGCTCAGAGCGCCTGCCCAGGCATCAGTTTGGAAGCTTTTCCCACTGCCATTTCAGGGCAGTAAATGTGGCCAAGTACACATCATCTGTCTGATTTAAACATCTGCAGTGGCACATGGGCCGAACTTACCTTCTCTCTCATTTCTGAGGTCCATAGTTGTAATTTCCAATCTAGCTGCTAAACTATTAGCCTCAGCCTGCAAGAAGACACACGTCCCCTGGGGCCTGAGAACTGAAACTCAAAAGCCACATCTCTCTTCAGTTTACTTGTCTGAAAAACACTTATGATATTCTTTCTAAGGTCAGGCAGAAAAATCTCCTGAAGGAGTCAGCTCCTGTGCCAGCTGTTAATGTAGGGACCCCCAGCTCCAAGTCCAACCTTTTTACCTGCCTGGTAGCAGAGCTGGGCCCTTAGCAGGCTCTTCCTCTGTGTAGCAGAGGGAGCCGTGGAACAAGCACAGCAGGAAGCAGTTTGCCTCCTGGATCTGACCACTTTCTGCAGGGCCCTCCAACACATGCAGCCTCCCTGGCACCCACTCCAGGGAGCGTCCTGCCCACTGCAGCCAGTGGCCAGACTCCCCTCAGGTAACTGTGCTCTACTGGGTGCCCCTGCCAAGCGTCCTGCAAGAGAAAAGCTTTCCTGGCAGCCAGGAGGCAGGTTCCCCACAAGCCTTGACAGCACAGTGGTCTCACCCACCGCAGACCTCAGCCCTGGGTGGCAGTGGCTACAGCTGGGGGACCCGGCGGCTGCACCTGTGGCTGCTGTCCCTATGCTCTGCAGAGTTCTTTTACTCATCCTAGCCAGTGCCTCATTACTCCAAATACCTGTGAAAGTCATTCTTTTTCTTTCCCTAATGATTTTTAAATTTTTTTGTTTGTATTATTTTTTTAATTAATTTATTTATTTTTATTTTATTTTATTTATTTATTTTTTCCCATAAGAATGAGATGGAAGGTCTGAGGACAGAGAGCTCTAGATGCCCTATTCAATTTTTTTTTTTTTTTTTTAGAAAGAGAGAAAGAAAGAAAGAGAAATAAAAAAAAAAGAAAAAGAAAAAAAAAAGAATGAAGGAGAGGAAGAAAGAGGAAGAGGAAGAGGGAGAGAGAACAGGGGTGTTGCTTTATTGCCCGGGGTAGAATGCAGCCTAAAAATGGGTATGCCTTAATTGTGTTTAATAATAGAGGCATGGAAAAAAAAAAAAGAGGAAAGAAAATAATTAACAAGCAGCCAACCAATATTTCATTTAAACCTGTAAATAGGTGTGATGTAGTACTGATAGGAGTGTATATTTTGTGTATTTAAAGCGGAGAGTTCTATAAATGTTAATTAAGTCTACTTGTTCCAGATCTGAGTTCAAGTCCTGAATATCGATGTTAACTTTCTGTCTCATTGATCTGTCAAATATTAATGTTGAAGTCTCCCACTATTATTGTGTGGGAGTCCAAGTCTCTTTATAAGTCTTATATATCTGGATATTCCTGCATTGGGTGCGTATATATCTAGGATCTTTAGCTCTTCTTGTTACATTGATCCTTTTATTATGTAATATCCTTCTTTGCTTCTTTTGATCTTTGTTGCTTTAACGTCTATTTTATCAGCAAAAATTGCAACTCCTGCTTTCTATTTATTTATTTATTTTTGCGCTCCATTTGGTTGGTAAATTTTTCTCCATCCGTTTGTTTTGAATCTTTGTGTATCCTTGCATGTGAGATGGGTCTGGATGTAGCATACCAATGGGTCTTGGCTTTTTTTGCCTGTCTCTGTCTTTGGATTGGGGGATTTAGTTGATTTAAATTTAGAATTAAGGCCGGGCGCGGTGGCTCATGCCTGTAATCCCAGCACTTTGGGAGGCCGAGGCGGGTGGATCACGAGGTCAAGAGATCGAGACCATCCTGGTCAACATGGTGAAACCCCGTCTCTACTAAAAATACAAAAAATCAGCTGGGCCTGGTGGCGCGTGCCTGTAATACCAGCTACTCAGGGGGCTGAGGCAGGAGAATTGCCTGAACCCAGGAGGCGGAGGTTGCGGTGAGCCGAGATTGCGCCATTGCACTCCAGCCTGGGTAACAAGAGCAAAACTCCAACTCAAAATAAATAAATAAATACATAAATAAATTTAGAATTAATAACAATATATGTGAGTTTGATACTGCCATTTAATGTTAGCTGGCTGTTTTGCCCATTAATTGATGCAAGTTCTTAATTATGTTGATGTTCTTTATTTTTTGGTATTTTTTTAGAAAGGCTGATACTGGTTGTTCCTTTCTATTTGTAGTGGTTCTTTCAGAAGCTCTTGTAAAGCAGGCCTGGTGGTGATGAAATCTCTGAGTGCTTGCTTGCTCACAAAAGACCCTATTCCTCCTTCGCCTATGAAGCTTAGTTTGGCTGGAGGTAAATTTCTGAGTTGAAAGTTCTTTTCTTTAAGGATGCTGAACATTGGCCCCCACTCTATTCTGTCTTGTAGGGTTTCCGCTGAGAGATCTGCTGTGAGCCCGACAAGCCTCCCTTTATGGGTAACCTGACCTTTCTCTCTGGCTGCCCTCCGTATTTTCGCTTTCAATTCAACCCAGGTGAATTCTGGTGATTATGTGCCTTGAGGTTGGTCTTCTTGAGGAATATCTTTGTGGTGTTCTCTGTGTTACCTGGAGTTGAATATTGTCCTGCCTTGCTAGGTTGGGAAAGTTTTCCTGAATAATATCCTGAAGCGTATTTTCCAGCTTGGATTGATTCTCTTCGTCACATTCAGGTACACCTAACCAGCGTAGATTAGGTCTTTTCACATAGTCCCATATTTCTTGGAGACTTTGCTCGTTCTTTTTTATCCTTTTTTCTCTAATCTTGTCTTTTTGTTTTATTTCATTAAGTTGGTCTTCGAACTCTGATATCTTTTCTTCTGCTTGATCAATTCGGCTGTCAAAACTTGTGCATAGTTCGCGAAGTTCTCGTGTTGTTTTTCAACTCCATTAATTCACTTATTTTCCTCTCTAAATTGTGTGTTATTGTTAACATTTCGTCAAACCTTTTTTCAAAGTTCTTAGTTTCTTTGCATTGGGTTAGAACAAGTTGTTTTAATTCCCAGAAGTTTCTTATCATCCACTTTTTAAAGCCTGCTTCTGCTAATGGAACACAGTCTTTCTCCATCAGGCTTTATTTTTTTAAAGATGGGGTTTCACCCTGTTGGTCAGGCTGGTCTTGAACTCCCGACCTCAGGTGATCTGCCCACCTTGGCCTCCAAAGTGCTTGGATTATAGGTGTGAGCCACCACGCCCGGCCTATTTTTTTTTTTTTTTGAGACAGATTCTTGCTTTGTCGCCCAGGCTGGAGTGCAGTGGTACAGTCTTGGCTCACTGCAACCTCCGACTCCCGGGTTCAAGCAATTCTTCTGCCTCAGCCTCCCGAGTAGCTGGGATTACAGACACAAGCGACCATCTGGCTAATTTTTTGTATATTTAATAGAGGCAGGTTTTCACTGTGTTAGCCAGGATGGTCTCGATCTCCTGACCTCATGATCCGCCTGCGTCAGCCTCCCAAAGTGCTGGGCTTACAGGCATGAGCCACTGCATCCGGCCATTTGTTTGTATTATTATCTTTTTTTAGAGACAGGGTCTCTCTCTGTGGCCCAGGCTGAAGTGCAGTGGTGCAACCACAGCTCACTGCAGCCTCTACCTCCCAGTCATGTGATCCTCCCGCCTCAGGCTCCCAAAGCACTGGGATAACAGACACGCGCACCACCACACCCCGCTCATTCTTTGTATTAAACTTTCCCTGTTCAAATTACTGTGTAACTCTCCTTTCCTGACTGGAGGCTAATAATATATATTCTAATACAGCTGTTTTTTAAAAAATGTTTTCTTTTTGAGAAGGAGTCTCACTGTGTTGCCCAGCCTGGAGTGCAGTGTTACAATCTTGGCTCACTGCAACGTCCACCTCCTGGATTCAAGTGATTCTCATGCCTCAGCTACCTGAGTCGCTGGAATTACAGGCATGTGCCACCCTGCCTAGCTAATTTTTGTATTTCTAGTAGAGACGGGGTTCCACCATGTTGGCCAGGCTGGTCTACAACTCCTGGGTTCAAGTGATCTGCCCACCTTGGCCTCCAAAAGCACTGGGATTACAGGTGTGAGCTGCCCTGCCCGGCCTTAATAGAAATCTAATTTTATCCTATTATTTTTGAGACTCCCTAGAACTAACAGGACAGGACAGACTCATCATTCAATTTACCTACTGACTCTCAGGGCCTGGACTGACAGCCCAGCAGCGTTTACAATTTGAAAATATACCTCCAGGTACAGCACACGTCTTAGTTTCTACAAAATGAAGTGTTTTTAGAGGCTCCAGGGTACCTGGAAAATGCAACAGTTGTGGGCCTGTTTTGAGGTTTACCACTGGACACTGTATCTGACATCAAAGCTTCCAGAGGTGAGCTGGACTAAATCACCTCTTGTCGCCCACAAAGCATGACCAAGTTAAGTTTACTTTCAGGAAATTCCATGGAAACCAAAACTGATTTCCCCTAAAATTGAGGGTAGTGGATCTTTGTAATCATCACCAGATTCTGGATGGCCTCAAGTCTCCCAGGAAGGCCCTCTTCAAAGAGCATTTCCGCTTTCTCCTCATGCTGCCAAGACCCCCTGGTGCTCCAGAATGGCCATCAGGCCTGGGTGCCACCCCTGCCCTCCCATCTGAATGGGCACTGGCTGGAGGCCCTGTGTTTCGAAGCATTTCACGGAACATAAGAAGAGTTAAGTTGCGCTGGAAATGGAACTAGATGCAGGACAGAAGCCTCAATAAGGCTGTGAGCAGTGAGCGCCTACCACCAAGGCCTTGGCAGAAGCCCCCTGGGGGCAGGGGCAGGCTCAAGACAGGTCAGCAGTTTCACACAGACCCCTAAACATGCTGGAGCTATCAGGATAGATCGCCTTTACAAACCCTCCCAATTGGCCAAGGCCCGTTCTTCAGGAAGCTGGCCCAGATCTCCAGCATGAGCCTGCCTGCTCACTCACCTCCTCTGCTAGGCTGGGGCTGCTGTGGAGAGCTCCAAAGTGGCCCATCGCTTCTCCAGACCCTCCTTGAGAGCTGCCTACCCAGGGGTTTCCCCAAAGGCTTTACCGCAAGCGAAATCAACAAGATCCCTAACAGGCACATCAATATGTGCAAACCACCCAAAAATGTCTCTGTAACTGGAGGTTAGCCATGGGGAGTCAGCCACAGGAGCTCCCCTGCCGAGACACAGGGATGGAGCTCCCTTACACACTCACTGTGAGTATACAAAACCCCACTTAAACTAACATTCCTGAAAGCTGTACACATCTGTTCTTAAAGACCAAATCTTTACATTTCCCAACTCTGTCTCATGAGCTCAATGAAAGAAATCTTTTAGTAAAATGCAGAAAGTATCCTCTTTCAGACACAGGACAGTACAGCTTGCAAAGGCTCATCACCCTCCCACCAAGACAAGCAGCTGCCTGGGCTGCGCATGCATGAGAGGAGGCGGGGCCCTGGCGGCCCAAGGCATGCAGGGGAGTAGGCGGGGCCCTGGCGGCCCAAGGCATGCAGGGGAGTAGGCAGGGCCCTGGCGGCCCACGCATGCAGGGGAAGAGGCGGGGCCACAGGGAGAGTCCCGTGGCCTGAGTGGCTCCTGGTCGCCTCGGGGCAACCAGGCCAGTCCTCAGGAAGCACTGGAGTCCGGTCAGGCCCTAGAGGGGGCTGTGGGCATCACCAGTCCCCCGCACCCTGGAAACAGACAGCAAGGCCAGGCACTGGTCAGTTACCTATTCATTTCAAGATCACTCAGGCGGGCGGAAAGATCCTCAAGGCGGTTGATTTGTTTGTGGCACTGGCTACAGTAAAACTCAAACGCCTCATCAGTGAGGATGCTGTGCAGCTTTGCGGCAAGAGGGTCAGTGCTAGAGAGACAGAAGCATCCGTTCAGGAGAGGGTGGGGACCCATGGGGCCATCTGTGACTCTGCACAAGGGGCTGAGGACAGGACAGGACAGGACACGGTGCGGAACAAAAGCACGTGGTGAGAGAATGGGCTGTGGACTGTTCTGGCTCTTGCCTTTAGAACACCGTGAGCCCACAACCCTCAGCTGCCACCAGGCACCCAGGACAGGCACCGGCTGGAGCAGCAGGGGGCCCTGCACACACCTGCTCCTCTGGGTCAGGCACCAAGAACAAAGCAGGAGCAGCCTGAGAGCGTCCTCGAAAATCAAAAACCCTTCTTTAACAAGAAGGTAAACAATCACACTGCTTTCTCTTTTGGCAAAAACACGTGAATGTGGCAGCAAAGCATGTCTCCAGGTACACTTTTACTCAGTGTGCTGTTTGTGATTACTCCAAAAACCACCTCTAGCAAAAGCTACGCATGAATGGTACATCTACAATAGTTGTGTCATTTTTAAAATGTGCATTAAAGTCGGGCACCATAGGTAGCTCATGCTTATAATTCCAGCAATGTGGGAGACCTAGCTGGGTGGGTCACTTGAGCTCAGGAGTTTGAGACCAACCTGGGCAACAGTGAGACCCTGTCTCTACAAAATAATACAAAAATTAGCCTGGCGTGGCAGCTGACACCTATAGTCCCAGCTACTCAGGAGCCTGAGATGGGAGGATCATGTGAGCCCAGGGAGATTGAAGCTGCAGTGAGCGGTGCTTACGCCACTGCAGCCTGGGCAATAGAGTGAGATCCTGCCTCAAAAAATAAAAACAAAAATTAAAAAAAAAAACGACATATGTTAAAACTCAGTGTTCTGGCTGGGCGTGGTGGCTCATGCCTGTAATCCAAGCACTTTGGAGGCCAAGGCCAGTGAATCACCTGGGGTCGGCAGTTCAAAACCAGGTTGACCAACATGGTGAAACCCCGTTTTTAAAAAACACAAAAAAACTCAGTGTTCTATTTCATGGTGGTACACTAGCTACTCTCCCTGTGACTTCACCTCCATGGGCTTCTTGGGTACTGGCAGGGGGTGACGGGCAGGCAAAGGTGCAAAGGCAGTCTCATCTCGGGCACTGGGACCCAGGGACTATGGGAAACCATGTGGAAGCTCAAGTTAAAGAAAGGTGAAAAGTGACACATACAACGTAGCATAGACATTACACCTTAAACAGGCAACAATGAAAACACTGAACAAGAGACAGGGACAAACTAAACCCTGGAGGAAGAGATGATTACCAAGCACAGAGACACAGAGTTCAGAAACGCCCAGTCTTCTGGCCCTTGTCCTGACACCAGGCGCTGGGAGAGGAACGCGCAGTGCCTCTGAGGACCACCTGCGATGCCTCACACACGCACAACTCTCCCAGGGCGCTTGCCGGGACCAACCAGCACATAGGATACCTGTGCAGGGGACCCCACACCCAGGGCTGAGGGGCGGCTTGGGGAGGGCACATGGGGAATGAGAGGGGGACCCTGTGGGCAGACAAGGTGCTCAGCATAAGGAGTGGCCCCTCCTGCACTGCCCTCCACCCACCTTCCCTGTGCCTCTGGGCCTCAGTAACAGCAGGTGGGCAGTGGGCAAGGAAGGACTCTTTCGGCTGCTTAAAGAGACGGCCTCGGCCAGGCGTGGTGGCTCGCACCTGTAATCCCAGTGCTTTGGGAGGCCAAGGTAGGAGGATCACGAGGTCAGAAGTTTGAGACCAGCCTGGCCAACAAAATGAAACCCAATTTCTACTAAAAGTACAAAAAATAAGCAGGGCATGGTGGTGAGCGCCTGTAATCCCAACTACTCAGGAGGCTGAGGCAGGAGAATTGCTTGAGCCCAGGAGGCAGAGGTTGCAGAGAGCCAAGATCACACCACCACACTCCAGATCAGGCAAAAGGTCGAGACTCCCATCTCAAAAAAAAAAAAAAAAAAAAAGAAAAAGAGGACTAAGCGTTACTGCTGGCAAAGATGGAGAACAAGAACCCCACAGCAAAGGGGTGAGGGGATTGAAGTGACAGCCCCATCAGCCAGGTGAGGGTCTCCCTGAAGTCAGGAGCGTCCTCAAGGGACTGATCCCCCACTCGGGGGCCCCAAGCCCTCAGACGTGGGTGCCTAAGACCCCATGTTTGGATCCAAACCAAGAGGACTCTGGATGCCTGTGAGCAGGCTTCTCGGCTGCCGGATGTCATGCTTCTATTTATTCAAAGCCACAACTTTCCAGTTCGGGGATGTCAGGTATTTACAAGGAAATGAATCCAAAGACTGACTTGTGATCTCAAGGCCTCCCTGAAAAGCCTGCACAGACCACAATGTGATCCACAGCTCACAGCTAAGGAACCCGCAAGCTGAGTATCCGAACACAGCTCTATACCAAGATTCCGCTGAGGCCTCAGAGATTTGGAGTGATCTGGGGATGTAGCTGGATGAGAGGAACTTCACCCAGCTTTCATTCAGGTATAAATTTAAAATTTTTGAATATGGTTTATTTAATCACATTCCATGAAGGAAAGGAAGTTCTCTTTTACCAAAGTACGAACCAAAAAGGGAAACTTCAGATAACTAACCACAGGAAGGAGGAGGTGGAGTCTGCACCAGCACAAGGTGGCATTACCTGGGCGTGAGGAAAGTGGGGTCACTGCAGCCGAGCTGCCCGTTGCACAGGGTCTCTGGGGACAGCTCTGCCTCACTGCCTTCACCGTAGTCCTCAAAGTGCTCCTCGCCCCCGATCACCGTGATGACAGACTGGCCACGCGGGTAGGGCCTGCAAAGGAAAACAGAAATGATGTCTTCTGACTGAAGGCCATGGGCACCCCTGAGTTGAGGGTGTGGAAGGTGCCTTCCAGAGGGTGTGCTAGAAGCCACACTTGAGTCCTGGGAACCACCTTAAAAAAAGAGGCGGGGCCGGGCACAGTGGCTCACACCTGTAATCCCAGCACTTTGGGAGGCCAAGTCAGGCGGATCACGAGGTCAAGAGATCGAGACCATCCTGGCCAACATGGTGAAACCCCGTCTCTACTAAAAATGCAAAAAATGAGCTGGGTGTGGTGGCGTGTGCCTGTAATCCCAGCTACTTGGGAGGCTGAGGCAGGAGAATTGCTTGAACCTGGGAGACGGAGGTTGCAGTGAGCTGAGATCAAGCCACTGCACTCCAGCCTGGCAACAGAACGGAAATATGTCCAAAAAAAAAAAAAAAAAAAAGCAGGCTGGGCGTGGTGCCTCATGCCTGTAATCCCAGCACTTTGGGAGGCCAAGGCAAGCAAATGACTTGAGCTCAGAAGTTCGAGACCAGCCTGGGCAACAGAGGAAGGCCTCATCTACACAAAAGGAATTTAAAATCAGCCAAAAACCACCAGTTTAAATGGCGGCACACACCTGTAGTCCCAGGTACCCAAGAGGCTGAAATGGGAGGATCACTGGAGCCTGGGAGGTGGAGGCTGCAGTGAGCAGTGATGGAACCACTGCACTCCAGCCTGGGCGACAGCAATGCCCTGTCTCAAAGAAAAAAAAAAAGTAAAGAAACAGGTGAAATAGATTATACCAAATTTTTTTTTTGAGATGGAGTCTTGCTCTGTCACCCAGGCTGCAGTACAATGGCGCAATCTCGGCTCTCTGAAACCTCTCCCTCTCAGGTTCAAGCAATTCTCTGCCTTAGCCTCCTGAGTAGCCAGGATTATGGGCACGTGCCACCACACCTAGCTAATTTTTGTATTTTTAGTAGAGATGAGGTTTCACCATCTTGGCCAGGCTGGTCTTGAACTCCTGACCTGGTGATCCACCTGCCTTGGCCTCCCAAAGTGCTGAGATTACAGGTGTGAGCCACCACACCTGGCCCCCAAAATTTTACTTAGCTCAACAGGCAGTCATTTCAAAAATTCCAGCCTCTTCACACTCCTCACTCTGCAGCAAGTGTGGAGTTCTCCCACATCGCGAGTTCTGCAGCCACACACTGGACAGCACAGGTCAACACAGACCAACACCTGGGTTCAAGCACCTCTGCCTCTTCTTTAGGGAGCTGCTGTCCTCACACAACCACTGGGCGACGGAGTTCAAACTTCTGATTTCATCTAAAACTTAACAGCAAATTCCCACCGGGAAAAGGAAGGGGATTCCAAGTACCCATCCTCCTTCTGAAGGGAGTGACTCCTCCACAGCCACGCTCTGGAAAACACAGCGGCCGGGGGCAACGGGACACAGCCGTACCTGTATTTTTTAGGCTACAAGGCGGCAGCTACCTGTCTGCATCAGTCCCCTCTAAAATTAGGCTACATTACAGGAAGACTCTACTTTCTGCTTTTTTTTTTTTTTTTTTATTTTATTGTGATGACGTTGAGCTCTCGTTGCCCAGGGTGGAATGCAATGGTGCAATCTTGGGTGATCCACCTGCCTCGACCTCCCAAAGTGTTGGGATTACAGGCATGAGCTAGCATGCCCGGCTCTATTTTCTGTTTCTTCTGATTGCTTGTTTTACCAACAGGCTCAGACGCTATGACAGAAAACTACCCTCTGAGGGGAGGAGAATCAGCGAGAGGAAAGCACACTGGTCCATCAGCCAGGAGGCCTTTCCCCACCTCCCCGGGGCCAACGTGGGTGAAGCCTGCTCCTCCCTCAAAAGCATTGACAAGGGGCTCAGCACTCCTCACCACCCCATCTACTCTTCTGCTCAGGACAGTTTATCCTGATGCTTGACAGGACAGAGGAGGCCTGCACGGAAGGTCACGCTGGGGATCATGAGGCCCATGCTACATGGCAGAGGCTATATAAACCAGACATTAGGCAGGGTACGGTGGGTCACGCCTGTAATCCCAGCACTTTGGGAGGCTGAGGCAGCCAGATCACGAGATCACGAGTTCAAGACCAGCCTGGCTAACATAGTGAAACCCAGTTTCTACAAAAAATACGAAACAAATTTAGCCAGGCATGGTGGCAGGCACCTGTAGTCCCAGTTACTTGGGAGGCTGAGGCAGAAGAATAGCAATTCTCTGGGAGGAGAAGGTTGCAGTGAGCCGAGATCATGCCACTGCACTCCAGCCTGGGTGACAAAGTGAGACTCGATCTGAAAAATAATTTTTTGAATAAATAAACTGGATGTTCAGTGCATGGAGGTCCAACGTGCTTTCCATGCAAGATCCACAGAAGATGGGCAACACTAGCTAGCAATCAGATCCAGCCACCAATGAGGTTTTGAAAATGTGTGTTCCTCTAAAAGAGTTATACTTTTTTTTTTTTTTTTAGATGAAGTCTCACTCTATCTCCCAGGCTAGAGTGCAGTGGCACGATCTCAGCTCGCTGCAACTTCCGCCTCCTGGGTTCAAGCGATTCTCCTGCCTTAGCCTCCCAAGTAGCTGGGATTACAGGCTCCCATCACCACGCCCACCAAATTTTTGTATTTTTAGTAGAGGCGGGGTTTCACCAAATTAGCCAGGGTGGTCTCGAACTCCTGACCTCATGATCTGCCTGCCTTGGCCTCCCAAAGTAGTTAGATTTACAGACGTAAGCCACCTTGCCTGGCAAATTTACTTCTTAAAAACTAGTAAGAAAATACACACCTGCAATCCCAGCACTTTGGGATCTTGAGGTAGGCAGTTCCCTGGAGCCCAAAAGTTCCAGACCACCCTGGGCAACATGTCAAGACCCTGTCTCCACGAAAAAAAAAAAAAAATTACCTAGGTGGGGCCGGGTGTGGTGACTCACGCCTATAATCCCAGAAGTTTGGGAAGTCAAGGAGGGCAGATCACTTGAGGCCGGCAGTTTGAGACCAGCCCAGCCAAGATGGTGAAACCCCATCTCTACCAAAAACCCAAAAAATTTAGCCAGGCCTGGTGGCAGGTGCAAGCAGTCCCAGCTACTCAGGAGGCTGAGGGAGGAAAATCACTCGAACCGGGAAGGCAGAGGTTGCAGTGAGCCAAGATCGGGCCACTGCACTCCAGCCTGGGCGACAGAGCAAGACTGTCTCAAAAAACAAAACAAAACAAAAAAATTGGCCGGGCGCGGTGGCTCAAGCCTGTAATCCCAGCACTTTGGGAGGCCGAGGCGGGTGGATCACGAGGTCAAGAGATCGAGACCATCCTGGTCAACATGGTGAAACCCCGTCTCTACTAAAAATACAAAAAAAATTAGCTGGGCATGGTGGCGCATGCCTGTAATCCCAGCGACTCTCAGGAGGCTGGGGCAGGAGAATTGCCTGAACCCGGAAGGCGGAGGTTGCGGTGAGCCGAGATCGCGCCATTGCACTCCAGCCTGGGTAACAAGAGCAAAACTCCGTCCAAAAAAAAAAAAAAAAAAAAAAATTACGTAACTATCATGGATCTGAATATGAAGATAAAACAGTAACACTTTTAAAGGAAAGCATAAGTAAACATCATAGTGACTATATAGTAAGCAAAGATTTATTAAGTGAGTCACAAAAGTGCTAAACATGAAAGAAAAATGGATGAACTGGACCATAGTAAAATTAAAAACATCTGTTCCTCAAAAGGTGAAAAAGAGACCCACAGAGTAAAAGAAAACGAATCTGTGATACACACACCTCATAAAGGACACATATCTAAAGGACTCCTATAATCAGTGAGAAAAACACAGGGGACCCAATAGACCAGTGGGCAAGGCCAAATCCTGCCACGGCCTGTTTCTCAAAATTGTTTCACTAGGACACAGCCATGCTCACTGACCCACATGCCTGTGGCTGCTTTTGCATCACAACAGCAGGGCTGAGAGTTGCCATGGGGGCCACGTGGCCTGAAAGTCTTCTAGAGAAAAAGCCTGCAGACCCCTACAATCAGCCAGCCAGCAGAGGAGCTCCCAACCCTAGGAAAGGGGCACACCTTATCAGTCACCCAGGAAGTGCGAGTAAGAAGCACATGGTACCATCTCTGCACGCCCCACCACAGGTCAACCAGGACAGCAGACATGGCCACGTGCTGCTGAGGTCGGGAAGCCCAGGAGCCTGGGATGCCGGCAACAAGTGACCCTGCAGCCCCTGCAGGAACTTCCTAGGCTGAAGGGACGAGCTCCCGATGACCACCCTGCTTATGTGACACGGTAAAAGCCCCATGAAACTGCATACCTCAACCATACCTCGGCTTTCTGTTGAAACTGCTCTCTGTAACTCCGATGTGACAGGCAAGCAGTCCAAACCCACACTACCTTGGCACCTGCGACTTGTAATAAGTAAATAAGGTCTGTAATTTCCACCCTACCCAGGCAGTGTGTAAACTAACGCTTATCCTGACTTCTGTGAACCACTTAAGTAACAATCGGAATGTCTGAAGCCCCTCACCTTCACGCCCTCCCCCAGGAGGTGGTTTACAGAATGTCCAAAGCCCCTCGCCCCCACCCCCGCCCCGAAGGTGGTTTAAGGGCATAAAAGGTCTTGACACCCTCCTTTTGGGGCCACAGGTTGGACAGACGTGAGTCCTCCGTGGCCGCCAGCAAAAGACCCTGCAATTTGGCATACTTTTGTCTTGGTGTTGACCTTCTGTGCTCGCCCCAGCACAACACTTAGGGCGGTAACATATCCCAAAAGACATGGAATTCCTACAGCAGCTTCACCCTCAAAACCAAAAACAGTAAACTACTCATTGCCGTCAACAGGAGAATAAATTTCAAAGTCACAGCATCTTCATGCAATTTTATAATAATAAAAGTAAACCGTTTACAGCGATGCGCAAAAATAGGGCTGAATCCACAAGCACAAGAGCAAGTGGAAGAAGCCAGGCACAGGGGGGCCTCACTGTGTGAGGGCGCTGAAGGAAGACGCAGGGCCGGTGGAGAGCTGCCTGCCGGCAGGAGCCTAGGAGCCTAGGAGGTCCGCTGGTGCAGGGGGTTTTTTCTTGCCTGAGAACAGGCCCCTGGGAATGGTCAGTTTAAAAAACCTGCTGTTTGTGCACTTACAACATGGGCACTTACTTGTGGGTATATTACGTTGGCAAAAAGACTTAAACTCTGAAATATTTGAAGAGAGGCTGGGCGCAGTGGCTCACGCCTGTAATCCCAGCACTTTGGGAGGCCGAGGCAGGGGATCACGAGGTCAGTAGTTCAAGATTAGCCTGGCCAAGATGGTGAACCCACATCTCTACTAAAAATACAAAAATTAGCTGGATGTGGTGGCAGGCGCCTGTAGTCCCAGCTACCCGGGAGGCTGAGGCAGGAGAATCGCTTGAACGTGGGAGGTAGAGTTTGCAGTGAACCAAGACCACACCACTGCACTCCAGCCTCGGCGACAGAGTGAGACTCTGTCTCAAAAAAAAAAAAGAAAATTTTTTTTTGAAGGGATTTATTCTGAGCCAAATATGAGTGACTAAGCCCGCGAGGCAGGCCCAGGAAACCCTGAGAACATGTGCCCATGGGGATCCGGCTCCAGCCTGGTTTTGTTCATCATGGGGAAATATAAGGCATCCATCATACATGTAAGATGCATGTTAGTTCAGTGAGGAAACATGGGGCAACTGTAAGCAGCCCGACAGGAGGGCTTCCAGGTCAGAAGCAGATGCAAAAATTTTCTGGTTGGCAATTGTTTGAAAGAGTTACTATCTAAAGACTTGGACTCAATAGAAAGGAATACCTGTGCTAAAGAGAAGGGGCTGTGGAGACCAAGGCTTTATCAAGCAGATGAGGCCCCCAGGCGGCCGGCAGCAGCCCTGGGAAGGTGCCAGGCTCCCTCCTGCGTCAGGGAGAAGACCAGGAAGGGAGGAGATTCTCTACAGAGTGCAGACTTTCCCCACAAGAGACAGTCATGTAGGGCCGTTCTGAAACGTCAAAGAAATTTATTTTCGGGTAAAATGCTTTGATTTCTTTCAGGGCCTGCCACCTGTCATGCGACGTTCCACTACAGCCAGGCTGAAATGCGGCGCGCTGCTGCTATAAAAAGTCCGCTTTGTCAGACTCTGTTTAATGTGAATGCTGGTCAGCTCGGCCTGAATTCCAAAGGGACGGGACCTAACAAGGCGTGCCTGACCTCCCCAACCTGACATAGCCTGAACTAGATTTTCAGGTTTCCTGAGGAATGCCTGAGGCTGAGACAGGGGTCCACCAGTTGGTTGAGGGGCTCAGAATTTTTGGTTTACAACTATACTTAAGCACGGTTCGTGGGCCTTCCCAGTAGCACACGGCAACATCTAAAACACTAATTCAGGTGAGCCACCCTACACCTCCCTGATCTGACCTTCTCCCAGACTCCGCCCTTCCCTCTACTCCAGCCCCAATAACTCAATCTGGGGGTTACAGAAATCCTGAGGGCGGGGAACAGGTAGGTAGAAAACATCCTCCTCAGGGTGCTACAAAGGTGACTGGGCTCCAAAACCCTGTTGAGACATTCATTTCTCCTATAATTTCTATCTCTACAGCTAAAGATGCTGAGCAACATTTAAAGCCAGTCATTCTGACAGGGAAGTCAGCTAGGACAGGGCAAGGCGGTGTGGGCTCATCCCAGGAAGGTCAGTCAGGCCTCCATGTGCAAGCCGGGACCCAGGAAGTCTAAAGTCCTGCCTGCCTAGGCGGATCACCTCCCACTCCCACCCCCACCCCGCCCCACCCCCACCCCCACCCCCACCATTATCCCTGACTGGACATAAGCTTCCCCTCACCCCTCCTTGCCATTTTAACTGTTGTTACAATAATGTGAATACTCCTCACCCCACCCCACCATCTTAACTATTGCACCCGCCATTGTAACTGAACTTGTGGTCATGTATACTCCTGGCCCCTACCCACCACTGTAACTGATCCTACTCCGTAACTTTCCACGGCCCACCCCAAACCTACAAAACCAACTCCTATCCCACTGCCCTTTACTAACGCCCTTTTCGGCCTTAGCCCACTTGCACCCAGGTGAATAAACAGCCATGCTGCTCACATAAGGCCTGTTTGCGTGGTCTCTTCATGCAAAGCCCACGTTTTTAACAGTCAGGAGCTACTGCAGGGCCAAGCCCCACCCCCATGTAATGGATACTAAAGAGCACGCACTCCTCCAAGACCCCTATCTGCCCAAGAGACACCTCCACAGGGTGCCACATCCCAACAGCCTCTCCAGGAGGCCCGTGGCGAGGTACAGACCTGCCTGGGAGCAGCAGCAGGGCACCATGGTCGGGCTCCTCCATGGCGTCCAGGCACTCGGAGGGCACTGCCGAGCCACCAGCGCTGTCTGCGTCCCCTTCTGGTTGCAGCTCAGGGTGCACCAGGGTGCTGGTGTCCTCGTCCGTGAAGGTCTCACACTCACTGTAGGTGCTCTCGGAGCCCATGTACGCGCTGTCCGTCACCTCGTTGGCCTAGGAGAGAGTGCGCCAGCAGTCAGTTGGCACCACGTGGGAAGGGAACTGCAAGGCCCCACACCTCACTGCTGCAAGGCCCCGGAGAGGGCAGTGTGGAGGGAGGGGTCTGACACTGGAAGTCCCAACTGTCTGTAGCAGAGACAGCAGAGACATTACTTATAGAACACAATTCAGGTCGAGCGCGGTGGCTCACGCTTGTAATGCCAGTACTTTGAGAGGCCCAGGCGGGTGGACCACCTGAACCCAGGAGTTCAAGACCAGCCTGGGCAACAAAGTGAAACCCGTCTCTACAAAAAATACAAAAATTAACCAGGTATGGTGGTGCATGCCTGTAAGTCCCAGCTACTCAAAAGGCTGACAAAGGAGTTTGGTTTTGGGGTTTTTTTGTTTTTTTTTGTTTTTTGTTTTTAGACAGGGTCTCGCTCTATTGCCCAGGCTGGAGGACAGTGGCATGATCTCGGCTCACTGCAACCTCTGCCTCCTGCGTTCAAGCGATTATCCTGCCTCAGCCTCCCAAGTAGCTGGAAACACAGGTATGCACTATCATGCCCGGTTAATTTTTTATTTTTAGTAGAGACAGGGTTTCACCATGTTGGCCAGGACGGTCTTGAACTCCTGGTCTCCAGTGATCCTCCCACCTCGGCCTCACAAAGTGCTGGGACTACAGGGGTGAGCCACCAAACCTGGCCAGGAGGACCCTTTAAGACCAAAAGCAGTGAGCTGTGATCACACCACTATACTACAACCTGAGTGACAGAAACCCATCTCAAAAAATTAATTAACTAAAAATACTGAGGTCAGAAGTTTGAGACCAGCCTGACCAACATGAAGAAACCCCGTCGCTACTAAAAATACAAAATCAGCTGGGCATGATGGTGTATGCCTGTAATCCCAGCTATACAGGAGGCTGAGAAAGGAACTGCTTGAACCCAGAAGGCAGAGGTTGCTGTGAGACAAGTTCATGCCACTGTGCTCCAGCCTGGGCAGCAAGAGTAACACTCTGTCTCAAAAACAAAAAGGAAATAAATAAATACATAAAATTAGCCGGGTGTAGTGGCACGCACCTGTAATCCCAGCTACTCAGGACGCTGAGGCAGGAGAATTGCTTGAACCTGGAGGGCAGACATTGCAGTGAGCCGAGATCGCACCACTGGGTGACGAAGTGAGCCACTCTCAAAAATGAAAGTAAAATAAATAAAACAAAATTGAACATTTTAAAAATGAAAAATAGGTACATGTCTGAGAGCAAAAACAAGGTACTCTGAGTAATTTTTTTTGTTGTTGGAGACAGTGTCTCTCTCTGAGGCCCAGGCTGGAGTGCAATGGTGTACTCTCAGTTCACCACAGCCTCAATCTCCTGGGCTCAAGCGATCCTCCCACCTAAGCCTCCAGAGTGGCTGAGACCACAGGCACGAGCTACCATGCCTAATTTTCTGAAATTTTATAGAGATGGGGTTTTGCTATGTTTTCCAGGCTAGTCTTGAACTCCTGTGCTCCAGTGATCCACACGCCCTGGCCTCTCAAAGTGCTGGAACTATACAAGTGTAAGGTACTGAGCCCGGAAGACTAATTTTTTTGTTTTTATTTTAATAAAATAGAGAGAGGATCTAGCTGTAGCTGGGAACTACAGGCACCACCACACCTGGCTCAGCTGTTATGTATGTATGTATGCATGTATTTATTTAGAATCAGGGTCTCACTCCCAGGCTGGTCTTGAACTCTTCACCTCAAGTGATCCTTCCACGCTACTCAGATTACAGGCATGAGCCATTGTGCCCAATTGTTTTTAGTGTTTTCTGACTTTTGGCTTTTTGAGATAGGGTCTCACTCCGACACCCAGGCTGGAGTGCAGTAGTGCAATCTAGGCTCACTGCAGCTTCAAACTCCCGGGCTCAAGCCATACTCCTACCTCAGCCTCCTGAGTAGCTGGGACTATAGGTGCAAGCCACCACACCCGGCTAATTTTTGTATGTTTTGTAGAGATGGGGTGTTGCCATGTTGCTCAGGCTGGTCCCAAACTCCTGAGCTCAAGTGATCTGCCTCCTTTGGCCTCCCAAAGTGCTGGGATTATAGGCATAAGCCACCACACCTAACTTGTTTTTCCTCTTAAGTATCTAGCACCTAGCATAGGACCAGGCATAGGAAAATAGTAGTGATTCTTGTGCCTGAGCCACCAAAGTAGCTGGGATTATAGGCATTCACCACTGTGCACAACTAACTTTTTTTTATTGATGGGGGCTTGCTCTGTTGCCAGGCTGGAGGGCAGAGGCGATCTCCATTCACTGCAACCTCTGCCTTCCAGGTTAAAGCGATTCTACTGCCTCAGCCTCCTGAGTAGCTAGAACTACAGGCACGCGCCACCATGCCTGGCTAATTTTTGTATTTTTTGTAGAGATGGGGTTTTACCATGTTGGCCAGGATGGTCTTGATCTCTTGACCTCATGATCCGCCTGCCTTGGCCTCCCAGTCAAGTGCTGGGATTACAGGCGTGAGCCATCATGCCCAGCCTAATTTTTGTATTTTTTGTAGAGACAAGGTTTTGCTATGTTGCCCAGGCTGACCTTGAACTCCTGGCCTCAAACAACCTGCCTACCTCGGCCTCCCAAAGTGTTACGATTACAGGCTCGAGCCACCATGCCCAGCCAACATTTTCAATTTATAATTTCAACCTCAATGAAAATGAAATTGCTGGTTAGGAAAAGTGGCCAACATTTCATGCCAGAAGACTCTGAGGTTAACAATTTGCAAATAAACAAGATCTCAGAAAAGCTGCAGTCCCAGCAGAAAAAGATACCCTTTCCACTCTAGTTCTAGTGTTGTAAGAAGTAGACAAAGGCTGGTTGCCATGGCTCACACCTGTAACCCTAACACTTTGGGAGGGCTAGGAGGGCAGATGATGAGGTCAAAAGTTCGAGACCAGCCTGCCCAACATGGTGAGTATACAAGTATCAGCCGGGTGTGGTGGCGCACACCTATAGTCCCAGCTACTGGGGAGGCTGAGGCCTGAGTGACAGAGCAAGAATCCATCTCAAAAAAAAAAAAGAGAGACCAAGTGTGCTAAGACCTGAGAGGGCTACCAGAGGGTCCCACGCCAGGCTGCACCCACCTGAGCCTCACTGGAAGAGATGTGAAGGGCCAGGCTGAGCTGCCAGGAGTCTGGTGTGGCTTGCAGGAGGCCCCAGTTCCATCTTTGGCCCCTTTATCAAAAGCCGTGTGAGTTTAGACCCGTGACTCAACCACGTGGAGCAATGCTATAAACGGGGGTTATAAATTCTGATCTCACAAGGTGACAGCCTCCTGGAACCATGAGACAACCCAAGAAGGTGCTTTTCAAAGCACATAAACGAGGACTGCAGGGTGCGAGTGTCACTGGTGGGTGGAAAATTCCTGCCAGCTGCTTCTAAAGCCACGAGGGAATAGGGAGTGCTGTGGAGTGTACCTACTCCAGGTGTCCAGTTAGGGCACTTATCCTTCCAGGGGAAAACCCCATCTCCCCTAGAATCTAAGGAAGTAATTCATAAAAAGCAAGTCATTCCTCAAAAGCAACCACTGTAAAATCCAGAACCAGGAGAGCCTGGTAAGACATTAGGTCTCCTGCTATTCATCGTCCCTGGGCAGCTCCCACTCCTGCAGGAAGGCAGGGCTCAGGGCCCACTCAGCACAGAGCTGGGCCGTCCTGGGCCTGCGAGACTCCAGGAAGGAAAGCCTCGAGTGACCTGGAAAGCAGGCAGGCCCAGGATGTCTGTCAGAGACTGGGCCAGTGGGGAAGGCCAAGCCCAGAGCACAGGTCTGAGACGGTCTGAGGGCAGCTGGCAGCTACCCTAACAGGACTGCACACTCACAGGGGCTGTACTGTCTCAGAGTCATCAGTGACACAGTGACAAAGACTCACCCCAGGGGCACCAGGAAGACCTGCAGCCAACTCTAAAAAGTATGGTTATTGGCCGGACACGGTGGCTCAAGCCTGTAATCCCAGCACTTTGGGAGGCCGAGGCGGGTGGATCACGAGGTCAAGAGATCGAGACCATCCTGGTCAACATGGTGAAACCCCGTCTCTACTAAAAATACAAAAAATCAGCTGGGCATGGTGGCGCGTGCCTGTAATCCCAGCTACTCAGGAGGCTGAGGCAGGAGAATTGCCTGAACCCGGGAGGCGGAGGTTGCAGTGAGCCGAGATCGCGCCATTGCACTCCAGCCTGGGTAACAAGAGTGAAACTCCGTCTCAAAAAATAAAAAATAAAAAAATAAAAATAAAATAAAAAAAGAGTATGGTTATTACAACATCAGGTTCAGCGGTTCACTATGTAGCCTAAATTTTTTTTTTTTTTTTTTTTTTTTTTTTTTTAGACGGAGTCTGGCTCTGTTGCCCAGGCTGGAGTGCAATGGCACGATCTTGGCTCACTGCAACCTCCACCTCCCAGGTTCAAGGGATTCTCCTGCCTCAGCCCACCAAGTACCTGGAATTACAGGCACATGCCACTACACCTGGCTAATTTTTTGTATATTTAGTACAGATAAGGTTTACCACGTTGGCCAGGATGATCTCGATCTCCTGACCTTGTGATCCATCTGCCTCGGCCTCCCAGAGTGCTGGGATTACAGGCGTCAGCCATCATGCCCAGCCCTTTTTTTTTTTTTTTTTTTTTTTTTTGACAGAGTCTCATTCTGTAGCCCAGGCTGGAGTGCAGTCGTACAATGTCAGCTCACTGCAACCTCCACCACCCAGGTCCAAGGGATTCTCCTGCCTTAGCCACCCAAGTAGCAGGAGGCGCCTGCCACAATGCCCAGCTAATTTTTGTATTTTTAATAGAGACAGGGTTTCACTATGTTAGCCACGCTGGTCTTGAACTCCTGAGCTCGTGATCCACCTGTCTCAGCCTCCACTCCTTGTGGCTTCAGGACTGCACCCGCCCCTCTATCTGCTCTGGGGTTGTGGAAGTCCCACTTCCATGCCACCGCCATCCACACTCAGAGCCCCTGGTGGGCTGGATGCCACT